GCAGCACAAACCCAACTAACCACCCCACCCCACCCCCACACACAATTCTCTGGGATGAGCGCTTCACCCCTACCCCAATCGCATGGCTAACAGCGGGAATGATTTCTGTTCAGCCACAGGCAAACAGCCCAACAGGAACGGCCACCTCTGAATGTCCCCTTAATAAAATTCCCCTATTTCAACCAGGTGACCATGAATGATATCACTCTCCTGAGGATAACACAGAGAGCTAAAGAACAGACGTTGCTTGAATGCCAGCAAACACCGGGACCATACGCTGCCATGCCTTGTTATGCAATGATTCCAGACTACGTGCTGCTGGCCTGGCATGGTAAAGTGTCCTACCATGGAGGACAGAATAAGGCTGCCCTCCCCAGAAACCTTTTGCAAAAGCTTTGGGAGTACATCCAGGAGAGCTTCATTGAGATGTCCCTGGAGGATTTCCGCTCCATCCCCATACACGTTAACAGACTTTTCCAGTAGCTGCACTGGCCGCAAATGCATCCCAAGTCTTCAGGGCAAATCAATCATTAAACATGCTTTCTTTTAAACCGTGTATTATATTTACAAAGGTACACTCACCAGAGGTCCCTTCTTCGGTGAAAAAATAGTTGCTGGCTGTTGGGGAAAATGGCTTCTCCGCTTGCTTCCTGTGCTTCAACCTCCTCCTCCTCCTCATCATCTTCCTCGTCCCCAAAATCCGCATCCCTGTTGCGTGAGAGTCCACTTATGGAGTCCACGCACAGGGCTGGGGTAGTTGTAGGGGCACCCCCTAGAATGGCATGCAGCTCATCATAGAAGCGGCATGTCTGGGGCTCTGGACCGGAGCGGCTGTTTGCCTCTCTGGTTCTTTGGTACGCTTGCCTGAGCTCCTTAAGTTTCACGCGGCACTGCTGCGGGTCCCTGTTATAGCCTCTGACCTTCATGCCCTTGGAGATTTTTTCAAATGTTTGGGCATTTCATCTTTTCGAATGGAATTCTGATAGCATGGATTCATCTCCCCATACAGCGATCAGATCCCGTACCTCCTGTTCGGTCCATGCTGGAGCTCTTTTGCGATTCTGGGACTCCATCATGGTCACCTGTGCTGAAGAGCTCGCCACTCTGGCCAAACAGGAAATGAAATTCAAAAATTTGCGGGCTTTTCCTGTCTACCTGGTCAGTGCATCTGAGTTGAGAATGCTGTCCAGAGCGGTCACAATGGAGCACTCTGGGATAGCTCCCAGAGGCCAATACCTTTGAATTGCATCCACACTACCCCAAATTGGACCCAGCGAGGCCGATTTCAGCGCTAATCCACTCGTCAGAGAGGAATAGAGAAACCGGTTTTAAGAGCCCTTAAAGTCAGAAAAAATGACTTCGGAGTGTGGACGGGTGCAGGGCTAAACTGATCTAATGCTGCTAAATCCGACCTAAACTTGTAGTGTAGACCAGGGCTAAGAGTGGGAACAATTAATTAACAATGGGAACATCAGCAGCCTGCCTGTTTAGTTGTTACATTTCTGCTCTGCCTCAGAGACAGAGCCTGCTTCACACTACACCTCCAAGCCCAGGATGCAGCAACAGGGACAAGAGGGACAGAGTGAGTCTCTCTCTCACTCATTGGCACCCCACCCCCTTAATGTCTCTCCATGGAGGCATGCCCAGCCTCCCTCCTCCCCCACAGTGGTGATCTCTCTGCTGCTGGCTGCTCCCAGCAGATGTGCCTGGGCTGCCATGGAAGGGGCGTGTGTTCCCTACAGATTTCTTTGCTCCCCCATTTTTCTGCGGGGGAGCCAAGAAATCTGTGGCAGATATGAATTCTGTGCCTCTTCCCCGCAGGGCACAGAATTCCCCCAGGAGTAAACTTCAGTAGAATTTTACCTCATGTTAGCTACCTGAGTTAAGAACACACCTTTCTTCCTAGTGAAGACTCAACCCATACTATAGACTCAACCCATAGTATATAAAGTTAGGTATGTATTTAAACAGTCCAGTTAGTCATGGGAAATATTATGAATGTGTAATGTGGGTAAATTAATGTTACCCAAGAACCCTTTCCATTATTTCTGGACTTTTCATACATTTTATTTTTTCACCTTAATCTTGCATTAATTTAGATTTTTATATTTAATTCATGTCTAGAACTGCAGAGTCCTATAACTTGAGCAACAAGTTTTAGTACTTTGGAAACATCTGAACATTGTACAAAATGCCAGTGTGAGACCAAAACCATTAGAACTGATGAGAAATTGAGCTAAGTCCATGATTCCAGTCCACAGAAGACCAGTGTGGCAACTATTTGAATTTAAAACTTTTTACTGCAAAAGCGGGCACTGGAAATTTTTGCCTTACCGAAGAGGGTATACAGAGAGAAGTCAACTAGCATTAACCAGTGTTGATAGGACATAATATTATCGGCAGTATCAGTCACCCATCTACTTCAAATTATGGGAGGCTCCCTAGCAAAGGCAGAATCCTGAAGGAACACATGCAAGTAGTGGACATGCACACGCACAAGATGAGAGAAAAGTGTACAGCTAAATCTCTGTGCCCGGCAGAAAAAACATTTCAGACATACAACTATGCTATGGCACACTGGACTCACTGGTAACAGACTATTTACAGACTTATCAGGAGATAACAGGGTAGATACCACATCGTTCCCATTATGGAGTTACCAAGCAACATCCAAGAAACATAATGCATCATTTCATAGTAACTATTTATAAATAACTCATATCACCAACATATCAGCCTGTTTTAATCCCTTGTCTGCTTATAGCATTTTCCCACAACATTGAAACTGTATATGAACTAAAGTCAGAAAATTCAGACGGTGGGACAGATCCTTGGTGGCACCAAATCTACATCCAGTGCAGCTGTGGGGAGGGAATAGGTGACTAAGCCACTTTACTGCTCCCCAAGTTCTGAGATGGCTGGGGATTGAAACAGCCTCTAGTATAATTTAGAGCAGCCTCCGGGTGGCTCTACATTATGGCAACAGAAGTGGTCTAGTATGGAAGCAGGTGTGCCATCCAGGATCAGCCAGAGCCCCATCCACTCACTTTGCCCAGTCCCATCTGTGGCATGCACCATCCCCATCCTGAAACATTCCCTACATGGAGTGGGGGAAGTGAACAACCACCTAGCAACTCTCCTCTGTCAGGGGGAATTCTTGGCTGTCCCTTAAGGGCAGCCTGCAGCAGCACAGAGCAGCCAAAGCCAGTTTTGAGGATTAAGCCCACGATGAGCTGTAACTGGATGACACTGTACATATACACTGTAGTATAAAGCACCATGTGCAGTGCTATATTTTACTCCCCATTCTATTTAACAAGGGGGTAACTTATTGTTCCTATACAAATCATATCCTTGCATACTTCAACTTTTATGCATGGAAAATCTCAACCATATTGCTGCAGTAAATTTTCATAATTTAATAAAGTCTGAAACTCCACTCTCCATGGAAGCTATACAATCTTTGCTCAGGGAGAGTCATTAGCACTTGTAGACAAGACAAAGAATGATTAAGAAAGACTTACATTTCTGGACCTTTGTGGTGTCAGTATTTCCCTCGTGCGGTGATTTTTATTATCTTGCCATTGTAGTTATTATGTTTTCCATTTGTTAAGAGGTCATAAGATATTTTGTTTTTGAAAGGGCATATTATCTACATCAAAACACTGTACACTCCTATAGCACATCTGCCCTTGGATCACAACTTCTTCTACAGATGTTTGCCACATGATGCCCCTGTAAGGTAGGTATGGTAAGTATAATTGGACCAAATTAATCTCTCTTGTATCTCTCTTACTCCAGAGTTACAGTAAGGCAGAATTAAACCCATTATTTCCATATTACAGATGGAGATTTGAGGCACAGAGAGATTAAGTGACTTGACCAGAAGGAGTCTAGCAGAGTCTGGGATAGAACAGAAACCAGATCTCTCAATTCCTAACCCTGAGCTTTCAGTACAAGATCATCTTCCCATGCCTCGCATCTGACCTTTATAACTAACTAATGGTCTTTATAGATAATTTTAGTCCCATGGTACATCACAGAGGGAGGTTTCTTTTCACCTGAATGGTGAATTTTGACTTAAAAATAGCAAGGCCTGATGCTAAGATTTTACAGCATTCCTGTATCAGACAAATGGTTTTTCTGAAGCAAGCATCAACGATCAGAATTTGGATTACAAGGTTGGAAGAGGACCTGAGATCATTGCTGGCCCAGAAAATGTTTATGATTTATGTCTGAAATTGTTGGAATTAACTACACACAGCAACAACAAAATGAAATCATAGAGCTTGGGGGGGGGGGGTTCCTACACATTTATTTGAATGGTGGCACTCAATTCTGAAATGAAACCCAGCAGAGTAAGAAGATGCTGCATGCATTTCAAACATCTAGCATGTCTGTGCCACTGATACATCCATTTTAAATAGGCTACAGCAGAAGGCCAGCATAAGCAAGAGGAAGTGCAAGGATACTGCTCAGTCCTAGCTTTGGATTCAAATCTCACCTCTCAAAGTATCTGTACATTTGGGGAGTCCCAAGAGAACAGTTCTGCTATCCATACAGCAGAAGGAGAACCACCTTAGATGCAGGTTCCATAGAGGATAAATTTAAGCTCAGACCACAGAGTAAATATTTCCTGAATCAAGAATAAAATCTGGTACATCTCAAATAGTTTAACAGCCAAGTTATCACTCTGTAGTCTTTATACTAATTTATATTTTATAAAATCTACCACAACCAGAACAGATCAATGAACCATCTAATTTGGTGTCCTGTCTTTAGCATGAGGCTCAAAGCCAGATGCTGAACTCACACGGCTATAAAGCACTGAAGTGGGAGTGTGGGAGGGGGTTTCTTTCAGAAGGGTGTTTCAGTACACACATTCACAGAAGATTCCTGACTGCCTCTCAGTGCCTTTCAAATGCAGCATTTTCTGATTTAAGGATATGAGTTCCCCTCACCTGTCTCAGAACCTCTCTCTCGCCATCCTTTTTCCACAGAGGCTGTGGCTCCACTGAGCAGAGATGGATAACTGGACCTTCCTGGGAGAGTTCCTTGAAGAGGTCCACAAGCATTCCACCGTAGTGGGAAAAGTCTGGCTGACCGTGCTTTTCATCTTCCGGATGCTGGTGTTGGGCACAGCGGCAGAGTCCTCGTGGGGAGATGAGCAGTCTGACTTCATGTGTGACACCCGGCAGCCTGGCTGTGAGAACGTTTGCTATGATAAGGCTTTTCCCATCTCCCACATCAGGTACTGGGTCCTTCAGGTCATCTTCGTCTCCACCCCATCCCTGGTGTACATGGGGCATGCGATGCACACAGTGCGCATAGAGGAGAAGAGAAAAATGAAGGAGGCAGAAATGAGGGCAAAGGGGATTAGAAGCAGTGGTGACACTTACCATCAACAGGAGTACCCTGTGGCAGAGAAGGCAGAGCTCTCCAGTGGGGAGGAATCAAGTGGGAAAATAATACTCCAGGGTAGCTTGCTAAACACCTATGTCTACAGCATTTTGATCCGCATCACTATGGAAGTGGTCTTCATCGTTGGACAATACATCCTCTATGGGATCTTCCTGCAGACTCTGTACACCTGTCACCGGGACCCTTGCCCTCACCCTGTGAACTGCTACGTCTCGCGGCCCACAGAGAAGAACGTCTTCATCATCTTCATGCTGTCCGTGGCAATGTTGTCGCTCTTGTTGAGTCTGGCCGAGCTGTACCACCTGGGGTGGAAAAAAGCCAAGCAGAAGTGTGCTAAATCTTACAAACCCAGCCCCACCATGGCTGCTGGCAAACTGGAGCCTGCACCGCAAGTGGAGAAGGCTCAAAGTTGCACTCCCCCTCCAGATTTTAATCAGTGTTTGGTCAATCCCAATGGGAAATTCATCAGCCCTTTCAGCAATAAAATGGCCACTCAGCAGAACACAGACAACTTTGCCACTGAGAGTCAAGAGAATGCAGCTGGAGAAGGCCAATTTATCCAGATCAGCTATGCACAGAGTCCTGAGGCACCCAATGACTCTGCCCCCCACCAGGTCTCCAATGGTTATTTCAATGAGAAACGCAGGCTCAGCAAGACCAGCCGTGCCAGCAGTAAGACTAGGTCAGATGACCTGTCCGTGTGACCTGTTACCAGGTGGGGCAAGGAGGGAGGGAAAGCCTCAATGCTAAGCAAAACTTCTGCAGTGTGGACTTTGAACTCGTGCCATTCTGCTCTCTGTTTTACGGCCCTCTGCTCCTTTTTAGTGAATGGCACTGCCCTACTCCAGACAACACTTCTCAAGCCTTAGAACAGGGGCAAACTTTCCCAATAAAGGGCGGACTGGCAACTTGCCAGGAGCCTGAACACAGCACTTAATTTGCAGAAAATACAGCAGATGGTAGCCAACCTCATATTTAATGGAGAGGCGCCACCTACAGGGACCACAGGACCTGCCATTCCTAGTCACTCAGATAGAGATGGAATGTTGGCTAGCAGGAGCTGTAATCTCCAGAGATTGCATCTCCCCCTTAAAACTGAGGCTGGCCAGGAGCTGCAATATTGAACTCACCAAGCCATACACTGGCCACCTCATTGTTGCTTTGAAATTACTTTAACATGGAGCTACATCCACTTTGCAAGCACATCAAGTTACAACTTTTCTCTCCTGAGAAAAACAGAAATAAAACACTAAGCCAGTGGTTCCCAAACTTGTTCCACCGCTTGTGCAGGGAAAGCCCCTGCCGGGCGGGCCGGTTTGTTTACCTGCTGCGTCCGCAGGTTCGGCCAATTGCGGCTCGCTGCTCCAGGCCAATGGGAGCTGCTGGAAGCGGCGCGGGCCAAGGGATGTACTGGCCGCCGCTTCCAGAGGCTCCCATTGGCCTGGAGCAGCAAACCGCGGCCACTGGGAGCCGCGATCAGCTGAACCTGCACACGTGGCAGGTAAACAAACCAGCCCAGCCCGCCAGGAGCTTTCCCTGCACAACTGGTAGAACAAGTTTGGGAACCACTGCCCTAGGCCTTTGAATGAAATGCTTTATATTTTTCTCTCTCTCTTCCCTTTTCTCTGCCTGGGCCCAGACACATTATACCACCTTGCCTTACCTATACCACGTAAATGTGCAATGAATTCTACTTGAATTTTTAACATTATGTATGTAGCCCCATCAAGATCTGACTGGTAGTTAAGAATTGTCTGTTTTCCTCCAAAAAATAAAGTGCCTTAGTGTCCAACTGTGGAAATACCTTCATCCCACGGTCAGGCCAGCAGACAGACCCTGGCATCCCTGGGATATTACCCAGGCTACCTGCTGAAGGGGCCTAAGGAATTTTCCCAAGTTACTTATTAGACTAGTTTCAAGAGAAATGTCCACTTAACCAAAATAAACAAATTTTCCCATGGATGCAAATATGTCACTTGTAAAAAGGAGAGACTCTGGTGTGAAAAGACATGATTTTTTTTTCTCTTTAACAAACGTTTTAAGTACATTTAGTTCTATCGAAAGGATGCTAGACCAACAGCCCTGGAGAGTGAGGTCCTCTGTTCATCCTCAGAAGAGTTACAGCACAGGCCGTGGTTGTGCAAGCTTCCTCAACCCTGCCCGGCCAATAAACCTTAACCTCAGCCTCATTCTAGAGTGAGAGCACTGACCAGCCTCTATTGCATCCATCAGTCCTTGGCCGCTCTGCTGAGTCTGCCAGTTCTTATTCGTTCAGAAATCGACAAATGCACTGATTCTTTTCACCACACAGGTCAACCTGAGCTCTCATCAGATGGCAACACTGGTAATGAGATAAACGAGGATCCCAGAGCAAGGCTGTTCAAGCAGCACTTAGGGTGGTTCCTAGTCCCCAAACCCAACCTTGATCCCCATTCATTTGGTCATTGCAGAAATGAAACAAGGGGATTAAGTTTATCTTTCTGTCTTTGGAGGATAAACTAGTCCTAGTTCAACCTGTTCCCTTTCATTTACCTTGCCCTTTTGAACATGTGCAGCTGCTTATAAATGGTTGAATTGTGTGTGTATGGGCTTGGAGTGATTTAAGACAGGACTGATCTATTCCCTCCTATATCTGCTGTTGAAAGTGATTGTCACTCCTTGAGTCCAATGCAGTGCATGGTTTGGTACAGTTGCCTGCACATGAACCAGGAGGAAAACATTTTAGTTTGTAAGTGATTTATGTACAGGTATTTTTGAATCAGGAAAAGATGTGTGCTCTCCTGAACAAGAGTTTTTAAACAATTGTGCCTAGTTTGTCCTAATAAAGTTCTGATATCATTTCCTATTGTTCATGTGTCTCCTCTTATGTGTCCAAGAATGAAAGAATGAGTTGCTAACATCTATGGGTTTCCATTCCAACTTCTGCCTGTCAGCTATCACAGAGATTCCCAAAACAAACGTGGGCCATTGCTTGGAATTCTGTGTGTTTGAGGGGTGGGGGTCGGAGGAAATATATGGCCAACTATAAATGTTGAAAAACTATTGTTTTACCAGCTAGTGGAGTCAAGGGAACACCCCACACCCTCTGGTTTATCAGAGAAGAGAAGAAACACAGGAAGCCAGCTAGGGACAAACAGCACTGGTTGTAGCTTTGCAAGATGTTCTCAAAGGGATGAAGGGTAGCAAAATCCATCCTGAAGAGTTCAATTGTGCTTCCATCAAAATCAGTCAACCAGGAGGAGGGCCTTAAGAGGGCTCCTCTAGCCACCTGATCCTAAGAGGATTGACCACCCACACTCATCGCTGTCTTCAAAGAGCAGTTTGGGGCACTCATCTCTCACAAGATTATGCTGTCCAACCTACAAACTCCTCTTCTCTCCCCTGTCCAAAAAGCTGACTTCTCTCCTTCCCAAACTGAACTCAGAGGCTCTTGTCCTTCCCTTGGTGCCACCTCTCAGCCCACAAGCTTCTTTTCTCCCCTGCTCCATCTGTCAAACTCAAAGGGTCTCCCCTCCTACCGCCAACCCAACTTCACCTCCCAACCCATGGGACCTAGAAGGCTGGAAAGCAGAAACAAGGGGGATCATTGTATCCTGTTGAAAATGAAGGGAAAATTTACAGAGAACATAATTACTCAAGCTGGAAGTAGGTGAGGAAACCAAGGATAGGACCACCACTCTTGGGGAAAGTTTTACGGTGTCTTTGAGGCTACAAGTGGTCAGAACCTTGATTTGGCATCTCATCTGAAAGACTGCACCCTCAGCAACACAGTGTCCCCCAGCACCACGCAGGAAAGATGAGTTCTAGTGCTCCAAATTTTCAAAGTAGTGCACAGGCATTTCTGAGTGCACCTGTCTGATGCATGCAAACTGCCAGGATGCACATGCATCTGGAGCTTTGTGTGCCTAAGTCAGGCTAATGCACACATGCACTTGAGCAGTCACCTCTTTGAAAATTGGGCCACTGAGTTCTCACACCAGGCCCTCGATTTTCTATGGAGATCTTCCATCCAAGCATTAAACCAGGCCTGACTAATCTTAAATTTCTGAGAATGGGTCCAAAGTGTAAAAGCCCCACTCTAATCAAACGCATCCTAAAAAACGCAGGGGTATTTGATCCTACTCATTATAAATATGGGGTAGAGCTGGGAAATTAAAATATGGATATGTACTAAGATTTCAACCCTCCTAAATTCACGGATGTTCACACCTGAGGACATGGTTCATGCCCATCTCTTTGACAAGATCACACCCCAACCATTCCCTAGAAAACGTGCATTAAAGCCAAGTACTGAGCATATATTCTCCTGCTCCCAATCTCTTCTGCACGCCTCCCTGGCTGCCTCCTGGATATCACAGATGGAGGATGTGTGATGGATGGATGTTTGCATTTACTGACAGTTCATATGCTTATGATGCTCTGAATCCATTGTCAAGACTGCCTGTCAAATCATATCACAAAGGGAGTATTTAGTTCTAACTGCCAGTGAGCAGGGGAGCAAGAGCTGTCTTTTCAGGCAGATTTCTTGTACATCGTATTGGATTGGAAGGATGGGCAGATGGCATTAAGGGTGTGAGCTAAGTCGATAATACTTACAAAATTCAGCATTGGAGTTGGCACTCAATCTTTGTCTTCCTCATAGCATAAGTCAAGGTACAGTTGTCATTTACTTTACAAAGCATTCTGAATAAAAGATTTTCATTCTGCATCAATGCTAATTTACTGGGGCCTGCTCCATATTATAGTTTCCTGTTCCCACTAACTCAGATTCCTGGAGCATCAGCTGGAGTTCCTGGTTAATTTAATTAGAATGTACCAGCTCCATGATGTCACAGCGTCTCCTCCTGTTGCGCTTCAAACCAGATCAGCATCTCCTCCTACCTGATATAGCATGTCAAATAAAGGGGCTGTCTCAACAATCCAGCAGTCAACCTCATTCTACAGCTGCTTGAGGTCTGGATTGCTGATTCTGAGCTATGTCCAACCAGGCTCTTAAAGCAAAAAAAGTTAATCCTATAAAAAGAAAATCTATATTTAAAAAAAATCCCTAAGGCCAAACCTAACAAGACAAGACAGTGATACCAGGATGAATTCAAGACTACAGTCTGCTCCCCTGCCTCCATCCAAACAGCAGATAATGGGATTGTTCAGAGAGGAGACAAATGAGAGAGGACCCGAGAGAGGTACACAAAATAATGAATGGCCTAGAGAAAGCAGGTCGAGAATTCCGCTTTCCCCTCTCATAATATGAGAACAAGAGTCTAGGCAACAAAATTGAAAGACAACACATTTCAAAGTGATAAACTGGAAACAAAACACTGTTTCCCATGGAACTCATTGCCAAGAGTTTCATAGGATCAAAAAAGGAGCAGACATTTATCTAGTTGAGAACATTACAGTTACATAGGACAAATATAAGGAAAATAAACCTCATCCTTCAAGGCATAAACCAACCACTAAGACCTAGACTTTCAAAGTTGCTGAGCACTCACAATGTCAGCTAAAGTCAGTGGGTGCTGTGAGCGCTCAGTACCTCTGAAAAGTAGGCCCATCTAGCCTGAGATTAGGAAGATGCTTCCACTTTAGGTCATTCCATAATTGCACCTTTCTCTGAAGTTCCTGGTGCAGGCCAGTGTTGGAGACAGGATATCAGATTGAGTGGGTGTGATGGGTTTGGGCCCTTTGGGATGTCACTTGATGTGCTGGGATGCCACGGAGTCGGCCTATTCTGCCAGCCTGGGTTCCCTTACCTGGCCTTGCTGGGTTAGGCTCACAAGCTTCTTCCTGATAAGTACACAGGCAGGGCCATGCCCAGCTGCACAGAGAGACAGAGATCCACTCTGGAAAGATTCAGCCTTAGGGGCTTGCCCCAACACTTTGGTGCCCACTCCCTTTGAGGGGTACAAACCCAAAGGTTTTATGAAATTCGCCCCCTCCCAGTTAGACAGAATATAACCCAGTTTATGTAATTAACAAGAAATAAGTTTATTAACTACAAAAGGTGAATATTAAGTGAATATAAGAGATAACCAAACAATGCAGATTACTGAACAAATAAAGCAACACACACAAGCTAAGCTCAATATACTTAAGAAACAGGTTACAAAATGTAAATTTCAGAGTAACAGCCGTGTTAGTCTGTATTCGCAAAAAGAAAAGGAGTACTTGTGGCACCTTAGAGACTAACCAATTTATTTGAGCATGAGCTTTCGTGAGCTACAGCTCGCTACAGCTCACTTCATCCGATGAAGTGAGCTGTAGCTCACGAAAGCTCATGCTCAAATAAATTGGTTAGTCTCTAAGGTGCCACAAAATGTAAATTCTCACCCTAAATGTTATTTTAGACAGGTTGCAAAGTTTCTGTGGTTCCGAGTTCCAGTTATATTTCCTTTCAGACTGGACTCCCCTCTTGCCTTCCTTTCAGGTGGCTTTAGCAGTCTTTCTTCTTGGGCAGACAGGCCACGGAGAGGAGGAGTGCCGTTTGCCTTCCTCCCCACCCTTAAATAGGATTTACATAAGGCGGGAATCCTTTGTTTCCCAAACTTGATCACCCCCTCCCTTCCAGTGGAATGGAACAAGAAATCCCAGGTAATGTTTAGTATCAAGTGACAAGACCATCTGACCCTGTAGTATTACAGTGTCCATGAGTCAGTGGCAGTATGGGTCAGCAAGAAGGCCAAGCCTTTCCACAGTCCATTGTCCTCGCTGATGGGCCATCAGCCGTGTCTGGCTTTTCCATTGTTGTACCTGAAGTGTTAGCAGTGGGCGTCACACAAAGTAGCATAGTTGAAATACAGATACATAGTCAATATTCCTAACTTCAGATACAAAAACGATACAGGCATACAAATTGGATAATCGCATTCAGTAAATCATAACCTTTCCAATGATATTTTACAAGACCCATCTTGCATAAAGTACACCTCAGTTATGTCATATTCATATTATAAGCATATTTTCATAAAGAATATGGAGTGAAATGTCACAGTGGGCCACTGATTTGATCCAGAATAGTGACTCCTATGTTCCTGCTGGGCTTCAAGCAGGCATTGGATACAGCTGGTCATAGTGGTTGGGGTTTTCTAAGGTAATATCTTAGCCTTAACTACCTGTACTGCCATGATGACTGAAGTTCCTTGTGAGACCATGGGATTTTCAACAACTGGATGTGTTTAAACTTTCCTCTAAACACCATAGTTACAGCATCTCCATGGTGAATGGGGTGAAAGGAAACCGGTAAAATGAATTTACACCTTTCGTTAGTAGAACTGGGAAACTGATGTAAAAACATATCTTTTTGTCCCAACAAATATTTGTTCACATTTTTAGATTAATTTATTTGACCTCACGCACACCCCTTTCTTTTCTACCCAGGAATGTTTGAGAAATAGGATTTGACTGTCAAAAACTTTGGGAATTTCAATTTCAATCACGTATGAGCATTCACTGAAGCCAAATTTTAAATTCATATATGCAAATATTCACACTAGAGGTGTTCATCCACTCAAGAAACAGAAACACCACCATGTGACTTATCTAACCAATCACTATTCTGAATATCTGCAATAAATCCAACAGTAACATATTTTTAAAAATAGCTGTTGATTAAACTGGAATAGCAAATACTTCTGAGGGACTGGTGATCTGCTAACAGATATTCTACTTGCAGAAAAGTGGCTATATTTAACAAATTATTAGTTGCAATTTATTTACTCAGCTCTAATTACTAGTTCAGATAGTGGTCAGGAATCCCTTAAATCTACCCAAGACTCACATGGAAGGATCAAATTAAGGGGAACACAGCACCCCTGCTCTCT